AACTCAAGAGAAATTTGAGCTCACGTTGAGCAGTAGTTACCTTGGGAAGCGGTGGTGGCGTCTTGTTGCATGCTTTGGATAGGTCTTTGCAGAGAAAATTTACCAGAGAATCAAGCTCGAGATTGTTGTTATTGTACAAATACTCTGCTACATCAGTATCACAATAGTCCATGACCTGAAAAACAATAGCAAAGATGATTGTAATCTCACCTTTAAACAAGAAAATCTAACTCATTTTTATGATGTGAGATTTTTAAAAAATTTCATGCAAGGAATCTTACTTCTTGACAAGCACGTTCAATGGTTTTGCATTTTGAATGACATTTCCCTTCCATGTCTTGTTCAATAAGCTGACCATGGACAATAAAATTAACCAAAATTAGCAACAAAAAAAACCCAATATCAAGAGACCTATGGAGAAAAGATAACGAAACATTTTGGCTAAGGCTTCGATGACAAATTATATTGTACATCCAGATGTGTCTAGTTTCATGTAGGTCCCGCTAGCATCATTAAACTAATAAATGTGTATGCATTAATTTCAAAATGTACGTGCTCTGAGTATGTATAAAAATAAAATTAAATGTTCATTTTTATTTTCAAGACCTTACAATGTTTTTAATTTATTCTATCACGAATTAGTAATGTTACTACTTATTCGTAACAAAATGAGAACTTCTTTTAGCAACGAAAAAATTCGACATCAAATTATAAAATGCAGCAAAGAATGGAAATAATTTGCAGAAACAAGTGAAATTTAGAGTATTTAATTCTGAATATAATATACAGAGAAGAAAAATGGTACTGTAATAAGTTGTAAAATAATGGAAAGGTAGATATGTGACCAATTAATTACCGCCAATTCATCTCCTTGTTCTACAATATCAATTTTGAGAATCCAATGAGCTTCTTGTTTCTCTGAATTACAAAGACTTTCTGAAATCTCTATTATCTCGAACTCTGAAATCTGAAATCAAATTATTACATATATATTATCGCATGTGCAAGATAAATAAAAAGTTAGAAATTAAATGAGCAGATACATTTATAAAATAGTACTTCTTCCGTCCCAATTTATAATGTCTGTAAACTATTTACATGGTCAAACTTCATTCACTTTCTTTATCTATTTTCATTAGCAATTTGATAAAATAAAGTACTAGTGTCACTACTTGTTTTGTAGATCTTTTGATGTAGTATTTTAATATGTAATTTTTATTTTTTAACTCTATGCCATTTGTCATATAAAATGATTTAAAAATAATTTCAGTCAAACATCGTAAATCAAAAAAGGCACTATAAATTGGGACAAAGGGAGTGTATGTTTTGACGGTAAGTAAACCACTGGTTAATTGACGGATAAAAAAACATAGATATTGTCCATTTTGATTTTTCGGGTTAGACTGACTATATTTTTATCATCAATTGCGCACTTTCACTTTTGTCTTGCTTATTAATACAATGAAATAAAATTTTGAAAATATTTGACAAGACAAATCTAATAAAATAATTTATGGTACTCGTAATATACGATATACTCCATCCGTCCAACAATAATATTCTCGTTCACTTTTCACATGGTCAACTTTTATTCACTTTGTTGGTGTATTTCCGTTGCCCATTTGATAAAATAATATAGTTTGTTATGTCATCTATAATTTTGTAAATCTTTTCATGTAGTTTTTAAATATGTAATTTTTATTTTTTAATTCCATACGATTTTTCATATAAAATTATTTGAAAATAATTTCAGTCAAATATCGTACAGCGCAACATGAAGATTATTGTTGGATCGAGAGAGTAATTTTTACTGAGCTGAAGTTCAAAGCTCGTCTTGTTTAACTTGAAAAAGTCAAACTATTTCAAATCAAATTGGACAATTGGACTAACTAGAGTTACCTTCTTGGGTGAGATTTGTGATTGTTTGGTGTGAACTTGATGGAACAATTGAAGGGCAAGTTTTTGACAGACTTGGCATTTGATATATGGAATGTCCTCCTTCCTCGCCGCCGCCGCCTTCCCTCCTCCACACTCCGACATTGGCAGCCATGGAAGTGATGACACCAGCAATAATGATAACAAAGTACTACTAGTATCATACTTCAACATTTTTTGGTTCTATATTTTCATTCAATTCCCTCTTCTCTTGTAAATATTCATTAGTTGTTTTTTCCATTGCATGCCTAGTAATAATGAGAATTTGTGTAGGAGTTCTTCCGTGAATTGTGCAAGCATGGAATGCATGGCTAGTCATTTGTCATTAATGGAAACATATTTTTGTGTTGACTTTCCAAAAATACTTTTGATGTGATAGGTAAAAGTATGATATGTTGGATAGATTATGAGTAAAAAAGTATAATCTGATAGGTATGGTAAAAATTAGTAAGGGCAAAAGTGATTTTTTAATATAAAGAGGAAAAAATTTGTAGGATAAGAAAAAAAAGGAAAAGAGTTTCAGAAACTGAGGGAGTATATTATACGTGTGTGTATATACATACAATCTCTACGTCACACAAGAGAAGTTTCATATTTTATTTTTGTTTGTCCCATCGATTTTCTACTTCTGGATTGTGTTTGTGGCTCATAGATTATTTTTGTGTCGGGCCTCTACATCACTTTCAATCTTACAATAATACTTTCTTAATCTTCATTTTAAGTCAAATGTAGAACGGTTTTGCGAGACGAAAGAAGCATGTTTTTTGTATGTATGGTGTATGCATATCTATGAATTATACGATGCATATTTCACACATAATGATGCAAGTATGTTTGGGAAATTTCAGAATAGAAGGGCGTAGAAGGAAGTTAAGATAGGTTAGGTCAGATTGAAAAAAACTAGTGCATTTATGTCAATTTAGGCCAAAATGAAAAATTTTGTGGGACAAATGAAAAATGAAAGATGATAAGTTTTTAGGGATGGAGAGAGTACTTATTATTTAGAAATATTTGCACTAAATAGCACTAAAACTTAAGTCATTTCTCTAAAGAGCACTTAAATTATTTTATTCCCTAAATAGTACTTAATAATGTCCACAATGACCAGTGATGACAAACATTTATTTGAATAATGACTAATGGATAATGACTAAAAGTGTTACCTTGGGAAAAAAATACATGTAGTGCTATTTAGGGAAAGACATTATGTTTTAGTGTTATTTACGTAAATTGCTCTATTATTTATTATTATTGAAATTAGATCAGATCGAACTAGACCATATTCGATCAGAAACAATTTTAAGTACCACGATAACTTAAACTAAATCAGAATAAATTAAACAAATCAGATCTTAATAAAATCAGATCGACTGCCAAAAAGTACATACTCTAATAGTATCGAAACCAAATGTAGAAGTCCCTTTAATTTTTTAAAAAAACAAAATCAAATATTATTAAATCTGAAGGGGAACAAAATCTGGTGGGAAAGAATCCCAAAACATCTTAAAAGACTGGCTGTAAGCTACAAATGCTAGAGAATGAGCAAACAAGTTTGAACAACGAGGAATAAACTTAAAGGAAAAACGGGCAAAAGACTGAATAAGCCTTTCGAACAAAGTCTTCTCACCCAAATGCACACCAGAGCGATTGGAAATCATTGAAAATCGGCAAACCAACCTAGTTCCACACCCACTTAACGTAATCATAAGTAACCAAAGAGTTCATAACCGTCTCCGATAATGATTTAAGACCCGGACCGGGTGTCGAGTCGATAGGGAGGGTGGGTCCCAGGTCAATGTGAGGGTTTTCTATGTTGACTCGATATTTTTCAGGGTTTTCCGATTTTTGGGGGTTGGACAAGACCGATTATGTGTCCCTTGGTCCGATCCAGGTTTAGTAACACTTGTACTGCCACAAATAGAGCATAAGGGACCCACGTCCATCCTTTTGGACCGAAGATTGAGAGTAGTCGAGAGAATGTCCCTAACAGCTATCTAAATTAAAGTTCTCCATTTGGCAGGGACTTTCAAATTCTACAGCTTAGTCTAAGAAGTAAAGAGTGACACATGGCCAATCAACTCACCCATAAGCAATCTATAGCCACTTTTAACCAAGTAGCACCCCTTCGAATCTCCATGCCCAACCCAGGAGTCTTCATAATGCGGATGATGGGGATGCACATAATGCGATTAACTTCATCCTCCGAGAACATATCCCTAAGTAGGAGAAGGTCCCAATCATGCAAGGCTCTATCCGTCAAACAAGGAATGGTGATGCTACGCAAACGTTTAGGCGCAACTGAACGAATCATCAGGTCACCATCTTCGGGCAACAAAGGATGACCCAAACAAACATACTTGCTCGGTGACCAATATGACATCTTAACCCACTACAAACAAACTCATGAGCGGCCATGATACTTTTCAAGCAGAAGCTAGGACCATTACCCACTTTAGCATAAAAAAAGAGACTTAGGGTGATACCTCGCCTTGTAAACTTTATCCGTTAGGGAGTGTGAATTGGTGAAAAAATGCCAACCTAGTTCACCCAAAATAGCAAGACTTAAATCACGAAAGTTTTTAAAATTTCATCCTCTAAACTTCTTTGGAACACATAACTAATTCCACCCCATCCAATACCTTAAACCTCCAGAACCCACCAGAAGCAGTTTATCAGATGCTCTAAATCTCGGAAAAGATAGTTCAGGATAAGGAGCACATGACTCATAGAGAGTGGATATCGCCCGAGATATAATTTTGAGGAGGATTTCTTTACCAGTCTTGGTTAGCGGCTTTTTGTTCCAAGAGCTAATCCTTTGTGAGACCTTTTCTTGAATGTACGAGAAACCTGCTCGCTTATCCTTTCGAGTAGACGACAGGCCTAGATGCTTTCCTATGTCCTCAGATTGTGAAACCCCAAGTGATCCCACAATAAGATTACGGGTAGTAGTTGAAGTCACTTTAGTTTTTTTACAATAGATTTTATGATCATAATATAGCAACAACATCAATTAAGTTATCAATTTAACCAACAAAATTCCATAATATGATAATACTTTAATTAGAGTTAATGTCATACTAGGGAGTATAATATTATGAATTGTGAAAAGGGGCTCTTATGACTTTGTACTCTTGTGACATTAGAATCCATGTTGTGAGATGATCCAAGACCGTCATAGTGTCTCATTTGTAAAATTATTCTTAAAATTGATAATTCATCTCTAATCCCTTACCTAGCCCCGACCAAAACATACATTCACTCCCTTTGTTTGACGCATTAAATGACGGCCGGGAAATTGCAGTATGCGTCGGCTGAAACGCCGAATCCGCCGACGGACTTAGCAGATGAAGCGGGCTGGGTGTGGCTACAGATCAAGGCGGAGGCTCGGCGCGACGCGGAGGCCGAGCCAGCTCTGGCCAGCTACCTGTACTCAACCATTCTCTCGCACCCGTCCCTGGACCGTTCGATTTCGTTCCATTTAGGGAACAAGCTCTGCTCGTCGACGCTCCTCTCCACGCTCCTCTACGACATCTTCATCAACGCCTTCTCCAGCGATTCGGATATCCGCGCCGCCACCGTCGCCGATCTCATCGCCGCTCGCTACCGGGACCCTTCCTGCGTTTCCTTCTCCCATTGTCTCCTCAATTACAAAGGATTTCTAGCTTGCCAGGTACTCCATATGATGTTGATTCATCTAATTTTGAGTATTTTGATTGATTTCCGAATATCAATTTTCCCATTAGGAGTTGACTTTTGTTTCTGTTGGCTGTGTCAAACTTTCTATGAATATTACTTGCTATTCTAGCTTTCCAGAAGAAATTCAAACTATCAAGCTGGTTTCATGATTTCATAAATGATGAATTTGCTGAAATAGGGAGTATATGCAATAAAAATGTTTATAGATGATGCCCGTTTGGCAACAACTTTAGTGCTGTAATATACACCATTAAAAATGATCCAAAACGCCAACATGAAACACTGTTCCCAAACAAGACCTTTGCGTGCTTCGTGAACTTGTTAATTACCACCCTGACTTGCAAAACATTAGGGGGAATGTACTCCTCAAATTTTCATGCTTCTTTTCTTTTTGGTCGGTCCCGGTTTATCTGGTTTGTTTCCATTCATAGAATGCATTTGGTTTCTCTTTTTTTATTTGAATCTCAACCACGCATTTGAATCTTACTTGTGGTGCTTGAGCAGGGCCCACCTCACTACTTTTGAGTAGGGGTAAGGTCTGCGTACCCACACCCTCCTGAGACCCTACTTTTGTGGGATTCAACTGCGTTGTTGTTGTTGTTGTTCACTCTTTAGCACACACAAACAAGAACGTGTGATAACTGAAAACAAATAGAGAATATATAAGTAATTGGAAACAAGAATTTCTTATTGGAAGTATTTAAGTTATACCTTACTAAAATTGAAAGGTATATGTTCTTGAAACGTATCTTTCTTGGGGCAGAGGGGGCCACTGAGGGAGGGAGGGAGTGTTTTATTTTGTAATTTGAAGAGAAAACAAAACAAAATAGAAACAATATCAAACACACAGAAGTAACCAAATGAAGTCTGAAGTATTTACTAGATATGAAGAACTACTGATTCAACTATAGGTGCTTTCTGTGTATATCTCAGGCACACCGAGTCGCTCACAAGCTGTGGATCCAGTCCCGAAGGCCACTCGCTCTTGCACTTCAATCAAGAATCTCTGATGTCTTTGCTGTTGACATACACCCAGCTGCAAAGATAGGGAAAGGCATCCTATTTGACCACGCAACCGGAGTCGTGGTTGGCGAGACTGCAGTTATTGGAAACAATGTCTCCATACTCCACCACGTAACCCTTGGAGGAACAGGTAAGGTTGGTGGTGATCGGCACCCTAAGATTGGTGATGGGGTGCTGATCGGTGCAGGGGCGACCATACTTGGAAACGTAAAGATTGGAGCGGGAGCCAAAATCGGAGCTGGGGCTGTAGTATTGATCGACGTGCCTCCACAGACGACCGCAGCTGGGAATCCGGCAAGGCTTGTAGGAGGGAAACAACAGCCAACTAAACATGAGGAAGTGCCCGGAGAGTCAATGGACCATACCTCTTTTATTTCCGAATGGTCTGATTACATCATCTGAAATCTCATTTTCTTCTCAGCTTATATATATAGTTATAAATAAAAGTAAATGAGGAGGGATAATCTTACAACATTCATATCTTTCAATTTGATTATTTTTTTGTGAAACCCACCGTATGATTGAAAGTTACTACGGAGTAATTCATAGATTGTCATCCTAAAACTTCACAAAAACCCAAGTTCGTTTCGTTCTTAATCCAATGGGAAAAAAATTAATGCAACGAAACGAATTTGGATTTTTGTGAAACAGTATGCCGATCTATGAGTTAGTAACTATTTGGGTTTCACAAAATAAATAATCCAATTGTAAGATATGCATGTTGTAAGATTAATAGTGAAAAAAAATTTGTAGTAAGATCATCCCTCATGTTTAGTGGCATTTGTTGTATTAGTTCAATAAATAATTGTGACATGCATTTTTGTACCATACCAACTGAATGTTGAGCAGTTAATTTTTGTAGGGTGAGCTCTTAGTAGTCACCTCTCACTTGTATGTATTATGGAATTGAGTTTTTGCTAGTTCTATAATTTGGTTTGTTGACTATTATTTACTCTTTGTCTTGGTTTATGTAGTTTATCCCAAGTTACTTAAGATAAAGATTTACCTCAAGTAATTGTTCAACTACTATCCCTCTACCTGAATCCTGTTGTTCACTTTGAAATTATCTCAATTTTAAGATTTGAATATAATATATTGAACAAGTCTTTTAAATCCAGTTGTATTTCCCTAATGTCAACAATGCTAATATGAAAAGAGAAGTAATCTTGGACGTTGAAAACTATGATTGTGGATAATTAAATTTGTACAACATGTGAGCATGAGAAAGTTTGTTTAAATCATCTTTCTTTTTTGAAATTTTGATAAAATAATATAATCAACATGTTTTATGAAAATAGAATGTTTATGCAGTTCATAATTTTTTTTTTATATAAATATTGATTTTAATTCTACATCATATTTTTTAAAAACAAATTGAACTAAAAATGTTTGTGATTTTACTATCATCGATTATTTTAGCATTACATTTACTTACACCAGACAAGAATTTAAACAGACATTAACGAGTTCGGTGGTAGTGAGTACACGCTTGCCAATGATATTACAAATTCGGTTGCAGAGCCTAAGGGGCGGCAACCCCTGATGGTGGGTCCAAGGGAAAAAAATATTGTTGCTTTATAAAAATCTTTTGGACTTTCATAATTAGAGCCAAAATAAGAAAATATTCAAATATATGAAACCATGCAGTCGAATGTTAGTGATAACCACTAGCATCCTTTGCAAAATGATGCATACATTTGAATGCTTAATTTTAAACAATCAAATACTTTGCAATTAGATGCGACAACTTGCATAGAAAATTGTTGAACGCACTGGTTAAATAACAACAATTGCGTACATTCGAATGCCATGACAAAACATTTGATGTTTTGTGTAAAGTTGTGTTCTTTTGTCAATAGACGTGTCGGATCAGTTTGTACTAGAGTATGTTTGAGAGATACAAAACTTTCATATTCGTTTTAGATACTTCCATTGAAGTACTCCAGAGTAATTTATTATATCCAAAAATAGCTTTGATCTGAAAATGTGTTTCACATGATTCGTTAAGTCTATCAAACTTTTTCACGTTAATCATATACCATCCACTTCTGATATTGCTATGCAACATTGTCACCCCTCCCAGACTTTCCAACAAACACTAACGTTATTGAATCAAGAACTTATTTTTGAACAGATGGAGTATTTGCTTACTCAACCTCAATACATTCTCAAATTATTAATGAGACTATCCATGGAAAGAAAATATAATTTTTTTCAAAAAAAGAAACAACATTTTACCTGTGAATACCAATTTCAAATTAGAGACATAAAAATATCATATTTTTAAAGCTACATTTCAAAACAAATTTAATAATATAATTACATAATCTAATTTATTCGTAAAACTTGGTCAAAGTTTGTCAGGATGCCACTTAAACTTGAAATCCAAATATAGTCTATACTAATATAAAAGAGAAAAATCTAGGTGTACCCCAAGATGGTGTACTCAAGTATACACCATCTTCTCACAAATAAACAGACACCAACACAGACAATGAGTAACTATGTATGTCTGTGAGAAAGTGTACCCCAAGGTGATGTACTTGAAGTGTACATTGCTTTTTCACAGATACACACACTCAAAGGTGCAATCAGAGGGGACACAAAGGTGCATTAGAGGTGAGGCAACCAAAGGCACGGAGGGGAGGAATGAGGTAAAAACAGCTAGATTGGGTAATAAGACACTTTATCTAAACCACATCAAAAGATTGAACTAATCAATTACTTAGTTCAACTCAAACCGATTACTTTTCTATTCAACTTCCGATGTGCAATAAATTCTAACAGAGTTAGACGGGTATTAGGGAAACAAGGGGTAAGAAAAATCAATTTAATGATTGAAGTACCATAGGTACCCGGTTGAATTGGTTTAACAATCTTACACCAAATGTTTGATGTAAGATTATCCCTCTAAATTGATACTCCTAATAGAATTTAATTCCATTGATTCAAATGGTCCTGCTAATAGAATTAGTGAAACCATTGATTCGGCTCAGACTAATGGATAAATTAGTGAATTCATTGTGAGATCGCCGGGACAATCAAATAATAAATCTCAATCACATTATTTTCACTTTGTTTATAAAATTTGTCTATTTCTAGTCAAATTGAACAAATATTGATCGTCAATTAAATAAAAATTGCATTCTATATTAAACACAATAAAATAACACTGTAACAATATATTACAAGATATGCTCCGCATACAAATAAATTATTTTACAGTTACATGTAATACAATTTTTTTTATTGACGACCAAAGCATCTAAGGTGACGGAGAGTACATTGTAGCGAATCACATGATTCGCTACAGGTAAACCCTACAATTATATTTTACATTTTGCAATATGTAATACAATTACATATTGTAGACCTTAAAAAAATTTGTAGATGTGGTTATACCTTTTCACTTTTAGGACAAACAACACTCCATTTGTCCTAAAAGTGGGGTTCTGATTCATTTCAAGGAAAAAGTTGTGTCCATATAATTTTTCCCATTTTTGCATAAATCTCAACCATATAATTTTACTTTTTCTTAAACTCCGTGAAAAAGTAATCAGAAATTTGATTTCAAGACAGATGGAGTACCATTCAGTGCTCAGGGGTGCAGTCCAAAGCAGGTCGCACACTTTTCCCATCCGAAAATGGTGATATCCCTTGTTCTATGCGCTGGCAAATAGGGAAATGGTTAGAAAATTGCACCTTCGCATTGTCATATAAGCTCAAAAACATGGGTTTTGTTAGTTGTACAACATAGAGACAACATTTGTTTGTTTTTCATATGCTCCTTTCGTCCCCCAAAACCCTTGACACTATACTTGATTGAAGTTATTTTCAATTCAATCTCTTTCGAAATTGGTATAGAAAAAATTAAAATTTGTATATTTAAAAACCACATCAAAATATCTGTAAAACAAGATGCGACATGTTTATATAACTTTTTCAAATGATCAATGGAAATAGAAAATGAAAAAAATCATGTTGACTCTGAAATAGCAAGTGTAAATAGTTGTTTTGGACGGAGGGAGTATGCATTTTGCCTGTGTGCACAAAGACAAGAGGAATGTTTGTGAAAACAATAATAAACTATTTGCGAGTGGTGTAGAAGTTGGTATACACAATTGTGGGGTACAACAAAGTACCGAACGTTTCACATCAAAACATAGAAGGAACACATTGATTGCAAAAGTTGCAAGCTTGCATTAATGTATGTTGTCTTGTGCAGTAATTGCAAACTAAGTGGGTTGAAGATTTGAAAGTATAGATGAATTTTAGGGATGCAGATCCTGGCGTTTATTAGGAAAAACCAGAGAAAAAATGTTAAAATCAACTCATTCAAAAATCACCTGCAGAAGATAATTATGCAGCCAATCTATAGCTTGAGGGAAAGCAGCAGCTGATATGTTAACAACAGTTAAACCCTGTAGTCAAAAAATGCAAAGCAATTAAGATTTAAGAAAAAGAATGTCACAGTTACTGATCTAAACAAACTGAGTGAAAAGAACATGTGGCGGTCTAGTGGTATGACCACAAGCAAAACTTAACTACAGATGCAAGGTGTGCTATTGGCAACCCAACATGTCTAAGACTCTAAGTAACTGAGAAAGAACAAAATTGTTTCTATGGCTAGACTAAGATCATGAAAAAGAATGACCGATATCCACATTAGATATTGTTTAACTAGATATTTAAATGTGATATTACACTATAAATAAGAGCCCTCATTTGAATAACGGGAAGGCATTATCTATGGGTAAAACAATAAACTTTGCAACTGCGCGAGGATAAAACAATAAACAACAAGAGCCCTCATTGATAATGAATGCATTTAGGGTCCAAGTTTTACTTTTTCTTTTTATTTGGTTAAGGGCAAAAGTCATTTCATAGTAGAAAATCTGGATGATAAACAAAATATCAACTTACCAAATAAGCACTTCGTTTGTCTTAACGAGTATTAGAAGCTATAAACCTCCTAAACTAAACAGACAGAAATTATTGTTAAAGAAGGGGTGTTCTGGCAAGCAATTCAAAAATATAGTTAATTAGTTAAAACACTGTTTTGAGAACCTGTTATCTGATTTGAAAACGTTTTTATTTCAAAAGAGCCTTTTGGCTGAGTGTTGGGATATCAGTTTATATATAAAAAAAAATATACTCCCTAGTCCCTCCGTTCCTAAAAGATTTTCCCTTTTCATTTATCCCCGTTTAAAAAACTATTTCCACTTTCTATTAAAAAACCACTTTTACCCCTACTAATTCTTATTCTACCTATCACATCATATCTATTCACTACTAATCTACCCTTCACATCCTACTTTTACCCATCGCATCAAGGATAATTTTGGAAAGTCTAAACAAAAATATCCCTCCTTTAAATTTCTTAAAAGTCAAAATGGGAAAGAGATTTTGGGACGGAGGGAGTATAGGAGTATTACATTGACAAAAAAATTAGCCACTTCTATATCTGTTTTGGCAAAAAGATCTAAAAGGGTGAAAAACAGGATTTGTCAGTGTAGAAGTGTATCGTAGGCAAACAAGGAATCCACAAAACGCTAATATCAGAAAGCTACAAAGCCTATGAGTAAAAGCTTCTTCATTTCAGTATTTTGAACGTTTTGGGTTTAATTTAATGCTCCAAAAATGGTCTACCAAACACTTAATTCACGTCATGTCTAAGTCTAAATATGACACTCAGGAATGCAGATTAACACTGTCACGAAAAAAATATGTACCTGTGACTCAAACGAACAAAGGTAGTCTTGAATGATTTTTAAGTTGCTCCTTAGCTTATCTTTGTCCTGAAAAGTATCGAAGCTTTTTTTACAACTAATGAAGTACATGCTAGTGAGTGCATGTGTGCTCCACAAGAGCTGTGTCCAGAAGCCTGCAGAACTCAGATGCAACCTCAAGGTGCTTTAGCAATTACAGGCTTTACAGCATAAAATAAGCACCCATAAAAAGATTGAAAAGACTGTTAGCGTAATTAAATATAGAACCTGGACCGGATATTTCT